GGGTACAGGCCAGAGGTGCGGGGGTGGGGGGAGGGGAGGTGGTGAGAGTATTCACCAGAGATAGAGTGGGGAACAGAACAGGCAGACTGACTGAAATACACTGCTGAGGGGAGCAGTGGACGAGTCAGAAGAGGTCTGCTGCGCCACGTGGATTGCTCCCCTGCCAGCCGGGGATCGAACTTGTGCTGCAGATGCTGCAAACAGCTTCATAAGTTGCATATTAACCCCTTGAGCCACCAGGGAGGCCCCAGAATCTGGTTATTTTTTACAACCTCTAATCTATTCCAAGTCACCTTCATTTCCCAACTGAATTTATTACAATAGCTTCCTACCTCATCTCTCTGCTTTCCCCCTTGTCTTCCTATAGTCCATTCACAACGCAAAAACCAGAGTGGTTCTTTTAAAACACTAATCAGATCTATCTTCTTTTCTTCCTCTTCCTTCCTTCCTTTCTTTCTGCCTCACCTCTTCTGAAGCATTCTCTTTCTCCTTCCAGCACTCACAAGGTGCACACACTCTGTCTCTCCCTTCCTCCCCGCCCCATGACTCTCTTGCCCCTCCACCCTACCATTTCACTAGGGTGCTCTCAACCTCATTTAGAGGAAAACTAATATCCTTACAATAAAGACTAGTATGAAAACCTGAAAGTTTCCGTTACTTCCCTAATTTCACCTCCTTATTCACTCCACACTACCTACCAGAGTTAAGTACACCCTTGCCTAAGGGGGGAACTCCACTTGGTTCCTTTATCTGTACTGATTTCTCCCTAAATAGTCATATAATTGTTCTCTCATTTACATCATGCCTTTATTCAAATGTCACATTTCAACTGTTCAATAGCTACATATTTCCAATGGCTATCACCTTGAACAACACAGACTTTTCTTGACGACATTAAAGTTCTGGTTACATATTAAATATTTGCTTCTTTTCAATGGGACAGAGGTGGTATGATTTTTATGTGTACATACTGAGGCATGAGAATTCTGTTCTGGACTCTGTTTTTCTCTGAACAATAATAACGTTTCTTCTGTGAGGTCATGGTGTTGGATCAGATAATTTCTATATGTACACTCATCTCCCCATCTCTAAAAAGAGGCAGGATCTGGGGCCTCTGCCTGGGACAGAGGCTGGGTGATCATGAGTGCATTGTTTGAGTCACCTGGTTCCTTGGTTTCATCTGTTCCATGATGATGGTGTCTCCCTCAGCAAAAGTTAAGTGCTGGAGCCTCCCTGGTGGGGCAAGGGGTTAAGTCTCAGCCCTATGAAGCTGTCCACAGCCACTGCAGCATGAGTTTGATCCCCGGCCAGGGAGGTGACCCACATGATGCAGCAGACCTCTCCTGTCTTGCCCATTGCTCCCTTCAGCAGTGTATTTCAGTAGATCTGCCTTTCTGCTCCCCACTCTGTCTCTGGTGAATCCTCTCACCCCCCTGCACCTCTGGCCTACACCCCAGCTCTTGTATGCATAAATAAATAAATATTAAAAAAAAAGTTAAGTGCTTCCCAAATAGATGCCTTCTGAGCAATATAATATACAATCAAATGTAGCACCCCTGAGCAGACATCTGCTTGGTGGCTCTGACTAGTAGACCTTGGTTGTAGCCTGATTAAAGGTATTAACCTATTAGGGAATGGTCAGCCATGGTACCTTTACAAAATGAGTGCCATGGAGCAAATATTTTGTGTACCCAACTATGCACTGTCCAGAGGCAGTTTCCTATAATGGCAATGATTGAACCAGGATGTATAATGTTATTAGACACTTAAATCACTCAACAAGCCACTATGACCCTGATCCCAGGAACCTCAAATACCCTCTGATTATAATTTGGCTTCCTGTTGGACTTAGATACAAGGATAGTATGACTACCAAGTGAACTGGAAAGTCCAGTCCTCTTGGTTGTTACTTTATCACACAACTTAATAAATTGGTATTTTGGCACCAATATCTATCTGACATCTCAGGAAATCAGTCTGTTCCTTTGGACTCTATGTTTCTTCCCCTATGCAAGACTATTTTCTTGTTGCCACCTACCTTTAATGTCCACCTTACTGGAGAATCACAATGACCCTTAGCACCTCCACAAGATTTCCTGGCAGGGTGCTCTTGCTCACTACCTAGCTAAACATTGAACTCCTCTATTTCTACTTTGAACTTCCTAGAAAAGTCTAAACTGCTTCTTGCCAAAAAGCAACTCTTAAGTTTTTAATTTTCAGATCTTTCTAGAAAGACTGGGATGCAGGTCCTGAAACAAGAATGTTCTAAGTACTTTCTCTCAGGTTCCTTTGGGACATCCCTTCCTGTTCCAACAGAGCCGCTGCGAGGCTCCCCGATGCTGCTACTATCATTCTTCCTTGGTTCTCACACCTTCCAACTTTGAGAACAGGGCATAAACCCCTCTCCTATTCCTGTATATGCCTCTCCTCTAGTGACTGCTAATACTCCCCTTGGAAGTTACAGCTGTTTTCAGTTTGGGGCAAAGGAGAGTCCCATATATTACCTTTTTTCATCACAAACCAACACGCTATGGTTCTGTCTGAGGAACTGAGCACTGTGTAGTGTAGTGTAGCACTCACCTCAAATAACTTTTCCACAAAGCCCTCGTACACCATGAACCTTCAGGGAGGGGATGCTTCCCAGGAGTTCTCAAAATGGCGCCCTTCCCGCAGCCCTAAAGACAATATGCAAATGAACTGCTGATGCTGACACCATCACCTTTAAAGGCTGATACAGTAGGTCCCACTTAATCCCATTTATTTTTACAGTCCTAGAGTCTTTTGAGGTATTCTCAGAAATGCCCTATTAAAGTTGTAGATGTTTAAGAGTTTTCAGATCCAAACTGGAAGAATAACAATTTGCCTTATCACGTTAGAAACTTGTCGAGGAAGAAAAACAGAGATAGGGCTCTACCATATGTAGTTTTAAGGGGACTTATAGCAGGACATCACCTCGGCCACAGTTTATTATTCTTGATTAAAAGTATGCTGCTTACCAAAGGTTTTTGACGATCATTTAGGAAAAAAAAACCTGATTAACATTTTTAAATAGATATTTTAGAAGTTTTTGCAAGGAGAGAAAATGATAGTGAATGAATCCTTAGGACAAAGTATGTATCTAGCAAAAAGCAACTAAAGTGAATGAACCCTGCAAGGGATAGAATCCCAGAAGACCTGGCAAGGAACCACACCCTCTCAAGAGTAAGCTCAAAAGCATACTGGGAAAACAGCAAGAGAAAGGCCCTGAGCTGTAGCCAATTCGTGCTCAATAAACAAATGGGAGCATTTTGCTTTCTGCCATTTTTAGGTTCATTTTCCAAGCAGCTCTGATGATGAGCTTTTAGAAAAAAAGGAGCTCAAATTCCTGTAGCAACTCAATTTACAAAGTGGATTCCATTTGATTTGTGGAGGAACACCATGTTTGGTTTTGTGTCAGAGCTTCTGAATGGCAGTGCCAGGAAAATGTGATGAGTCGTGAATCTCTAAGGATAAAAGATCTTGACAAGAACATGGTTAGACAAGAGCAAGAGCTGCAACAGTTGTAGAAGCTAGGGTAACAGAAGGCTCGTTATTCTTTTTCTAAATAAGTTTGTGCAACACAGACATTTACCCTATACCTGTGCTCTGGAACCTTTGACAGCCTCATCAGGTGTTGAGAAGCCACACGTAATCTAATAAGACAGCAAAAATAATAATAGCTGGTGTTTATATGTGGATTATCTTATTTCCCACAAGAGCCCTCTGACATGTTTGACAAATGAGAAACCTGAGGCTTGAGAGGCTAAATAACTTGTTCACAATCACCTAACCACAGAAACTGGGCTAAGATTTGAACCCAGGCAATCTTGTTGTGGAATCACAACTTTACTAAGTATGTATAGTGCATATCTGAATATTATCTATGTATTATTGATCTCTGATCTTTTTAACTGATAGTGGTTAAATTCTTTACTCAAAAGGGTTCTTATTAACTGGATCCTTCACACAACCGTAGAGCAAGATTGCCTTTAAAGGAGAAATTGTGTAACACTGTTAATGTATATTATTTTATGCATTCAATATAAACTTTTAAGTTAAAAAATTCAACAGTGCTTTCAAAATAGAGCTTTCTGAGTTACGATCTTATATCGGTTGCTAGAAGTTGAGACTATCAGGTCACGGGACTTTCTGACAGCACATGACCAACATATCTTTAGGTCATGACCTCCCTGTGCTGGAACTCCTGGTCTTGGGAATTGTCTATCATGGGGCCTTTAAAAATTGGCAACTGAACCTTCTCCCTTGATGACATGGTGACCCTAGAGAAAATTAGATCACCAGCTGGTTCCTAGGAGACTCATCAGAGAGAGAGAAAGAAAGAAACAGAGAGGCAGGAGGCTAAAAGGAGTGGAGAGGTATAAAGCACGTCAGGGATCAGGGGCCCTAAGAAGCTTCCTTACTTCATCCCTTTCCCCAACTCAGTATCAGGTGCTCAGAATATCAGGAAGTATCTTCCATGTCACAAAAGAAAGATTATATACTAATCAATATGAAGTTATGTGTTTTTCAAATACTAATTCTTGGGAAGTAGGAAAGTCATGAGTGATTATTTACATAAACATGACTTCTCAACAAAGGATTGGCTTAATATCAAACTTCTCAGGTAGCCCCCATGTCAGACATGTTAGAAATCAAAGTGTTTACTAGAAATCTTTCTCAATATGTGTTTGGAAATTACTTTTACTTGTATAATATATTATCCTTTCATGATAACTATGTTTCTTACCATAAAATGAGAATTGTAATCTCTAACTCACAGGCTAATACGAGGGTTAAACAATGTGATGTGCTTGGAATATATTAAAAATTCCACTGATGATGGTGAGATCATGATTAAGAATCTCTAAAGCTCATCTGCCCCCTTTTCCTCAAAAGGACTCTCTGAAGTCACATATTACCTTTTTGGAAGGCAAAGGTCAAAGTTATTCAGCAAATTGACTTTTGAATATGTTAATGTCTGATCACAAAATTCTGGAGTCTGCAGTGAACATTGGGTAATTTATATTTTGACATTCAAGCAACAGGTCATCGTAATTTGGGGGAAGGATGAAGGCTAAGAAGAGAAAAAGCAACCAAACTGGTGCAAAACAAACAAAAGATATTTTATTGTAACTTAAAATTCATTCCCAAGACAACAGATATAGTGCACACGTTGGATGACGTTAGTAGACATTGTGAAGAGCATTTGGACAATTATCAACACTGATGAATGTGGGCTGTCATAAATGTTAAACTTTTCAGGTTATTGGAATTCCTGAACTTAATATTGGCAAAAAGGAAACTTACAACACAAAAGCGCATTTTATTTCATATGCTTATAATATCACGTATAGCTTGACAGTGACTAAAGAATGAGGTACAGAAAACTTTTCAGAAGTCTGAGTAGGGAGCAGAAGTCCAAGGTGCTTTGGGGCTCCATTATTGCATTATTGAGTAGGATTAACTCAGTTAAGAAATTCCCCATCTCCAGATTTACTGCATAGAAAAGCACTATTCGCCTACCTCACTGAGGCGCTATGGGGATTCATGCTTATAAAGTGCTTCAGGCGCCTTCGAAGAAAGGCAAAATTGAAGTATAAAATATAACCTTATGTATTTCAAAAGAAATGAAAAGACAATTTTGGCACCATGGAAAGGTGCTTCCTATGTAAGAACCACACCTGGATATTTATAAAAACCCCTTAGTTCAGCAATTTATTGTTGCTTTGTTTTTTATTTAGGAGAATAAATTTTTCTCTACTGCCAATCTTTCAACAGCCATTCTCAATCCAGGCTTTGTTACCAGAATCACTTGCAGAGTTCATTAAAAATATAGATGCTTGGTTCACAGTCTAGACACACAGAATTAAAATCTCTAAGTGTGGTACTTAGGCAACTATACTTTTTAAAAGAATCTATACAGGGGATTCTGATGCAAAGTTTAAAAAAGAATTTCCTCACCAAAAATGACTATTTATTAAACAATGATTTCCTTCCTACGTTTTTCTTAAGATTGAGTGAATTTAGATTAGGGTTTCAATTTCTATTACCCTTTTTTCTTCCCATGTTCCACCAGACTCAGTACAATACACACATTCATGTGCAGATGCACACACACATTTTTACTTCTGCCTTTGAATTAAAATTTGATAGTGGTTAAATATGATAGTAACAAATAAATGCTTCATTGAGAAACTATGCAAGGACTTGCAATTCATCACCACTGTGCTCAAAGCAAATGGACATTTCCATTTGCCAGAATGGAATGGTTTAAATATGCATTTCCAATTTGGAAACAGGTAGAATCAGCACTTCTTGGGAAATGTCAGCTCAGTGGATGCTGAAAACATAAGTGAATGAGGTGATAGTGGTGGTTAACCATGGAGACAGGTGACAATAACTGCTGCTCTGCTTGGAGATTGCCTACATCTCAAAAAACACCTTAGGGATTGAAACTATTCATGCTCAGTGGCACCAAACAACATATGGGTGCTTAATCAAAGTAAGTAAAATAGAATAATGAAAACTGGTGACTGGAATTTAAAATATTTTCCAAAAATGATCTGTTTGCTCCACTGTAATTCATCATGCTGTTTTAGTAACCAGTTTCATTTCCCGACTGGCTTAGAGTCTTCTATTTACTTAGAGTCCTAGTCTAACAGAGAAAAGAGAGTGATTTAGTCCCCAGAGGCCTTCACTCATCTCTCCTCATGTGGCTTGCTTCAGTTTTAAAATAGCAGCATCCTATCTGGTTGTTTTGCAATGGAACTAATGGAGTCTATAGAGAAATAATATTTCTTTTACACAGAGAAAGGCTTCTGAGGCTGGCCAACACTTTTGCCATGTTAAGGACTCATGAATAACAGTAAAACAGGATAGTTCCACTTCTCAAAAAAAAAAAAAAATACAGGAGATAGAGACCATGTATACAGTACATAAAGAATGGGATATGTTTAAAAAAATTCATTCAGAGTCAGCCACAGTGAAACTTTCTAGGAGAAGACAGTCTTGTATCTTCCAATGTTTCTCTAAACATTTGAGGCTACTTTGTACAAAAAGATTGTTGGCGCTGGTTTGGGGAGTTGCTTGTTGCATGTATTCCAGAGGGGCAAGGCTGCCAGCAGCAAAATAAAACCTCCCAGCAGGACACAGAAACCACTAAAATAAAATGCAATCTCATAGGTCTGGGTCCAGTCATAAAACCAACCTGAAAAGAGAGTAAGGGAAAAAAATGAGTAAAATGAGTTTGATAAAAATCATGACTATAAAGCTCCTACTCTCATTTCATCAATTTTATATACAGTTAGAATTAGGATGCACATTACCCCATCTACTTCCAAAGTGGCCTATAGGGAGTTAGAAGAGGAGACCCAACTATTTGGGCAAAATTAAGCAGACAGTTTGAGTTTCTTCCAAAGACAGAATAAACACAATTCTCTGAGCAAGTATATTGGCTTTTTCAACCATATCAAAGTGATTTTGATAAATCATTACCATGAGACAGTCTATGCAGACTTATTTTCCACAACTCTGTGCTATTTTTACAATCTGAACACCAGAAATCTTCCAAAGAACAGTAAAATGGTTGATTTGAAGAGAAGTATCTTACCAACAATTGGTGGTCCAAGGCTATTTCCAAGTCCAGCAAAGAACATTAATATCCCATAAGCATGGGCTAATTTTTCGATTCCCACTGTCTTTGTGGTCACATATGGGAAGATGGACCAATTACCAGTAAGAAATCCTAGGATCCCAGAAAGTATTGCCAATGTGACATAACTTTTGGCAAATGGAATTGCACACAAGGCCAGGCCCATGCTAATTAAGGTAGCCACATAAAGATATAAGGTATTAATCCACTTGAAGTCAGCCAATATCCCCAAAATGAGTTTACCAACTGCTGTCATAATGCCAATGATGGAGATCAGAGGCATAATGAACTCTTCTTCTTTCACGTTTGAACTTCTGGCCACATCTTCCATAAGCAGTGACGGTGGAAACCCTCCAATGTCAAACAGAAAGATAGCAATGAAGAGGGCTGAGAAGACTTTGTTTTTAAAAAGAGCCACAGTTTCTCCACAGTAGTTTTTATATAACTGCCACTTCCTCTTGGCAAGCTGTTTGCAAAAATATGTTTGTTCTGCCACTTTCTTTTTGTACGTTTCAGTCTCTTTAGTGTGTGCCGTAGTAGGGTTTTTATGAAGTACATTCTCTTGTCTCCAGTCATTAGCTAAACTGCTCTTACATGTTTCCTCACTACTGCATCTCTTCTCAAGAATGCTTATGTTCTCTTCAAGATTCTTCTCTTTTTCATTGTAAATGGAATATCTATCTGGTATATTTTCCAGAACTGTTTTTTCAGGCAAAGGACAATCAGAGGCCTGGAGAGGTCGCATCAGACTGCCGCAGGCTAATATATTTAAAGCTAAAGCACCCACGATCAGCAGGCATCCATCCAGTCCATAGAACTCAATCAGCAACCTCTGCAAAGCAGCATATATAAAAAGTCCAATGCTTGAACCTAGAAAAGAAACAGGAGCTGTTCAGTCTTAATCTCTTCCTACTTGGGAATCTAGGGACAACATTACTAGTATGACAATTCAACATCTTTTAACACTAGCATTCATGTGTGCTTTCATAATAAAATCACAAGAATATTAAACATAGTGATAATAATAATAATAGTAAATCTGGTATAATATTTAAAAATCAGCATGAATAGTTCAGACACTGTGTGAAGCATTTCATATTGCATAATCTTTTTTAATCCTTATGATGATGCTACTGAATAGGTCTTACTACTTCCTACCTACACATGGCATGACCAAGGGCTAGAACAGTTGAGAAACCTGCCAAATGACATTGTTAATGGCATGAATAGGAGTAATACTCAATTAGTCTGACCCAGGAGCCTGTATTCTTAACAAATACCTTAGGCAACTGCTTTTTATTTTTGCATTTATTGTTCTCCAGGTTCCTTGCAATATATTTATTCCCTCTGTGAAAGCAGATCCTCATCTGGTATTTTTGAGGTGAAGAATGTATTTTAATTTGAGAATAATTACAGTGGTTTAATAGTTCAAATCCATTGCAAAATGACCAGACTAAATGGTTTATATTAATAAACTAATAGAAGAATGCAGGGGGAGGTGCAGCAGAAGAATAGATTAGAATTTGATAGGATATTTAAATGACCAAATATGGTCCAATTTGCACATCTATACAACATTGTATATTCTCCACCTTTTTAGCACAGCTTAACACTAAAAACACTGGACTGGCAAGTTTATATGAGCAGTGTATTCAAATGCTCAGATTTCAATTTTTTTAATATAGTATTTTAAAATTTAATATTGAAAATTGCCATGTGAAAAAACAGGAAAGAAATAAATAGTTCTGTTTTTAAAAATAGTCTAGGTAAATTGATCATACATTTTAAATGATCTATTCCAAACTACATCATAGCCCCAGTAGGGTGCCCAGCTTGCTGCAAATAATCATCTTATCAAAAAATCTTACAGATAACCAAATGGTCCTATCTTGGAGTTGCAAAAGAGCATCCTTCTTTAAGACCAGCACTCTCCCCTCCGAACATTTTAAAAAGTTATTAATTCTTTCATCCCCAAAGAAAAAAATCTTTATATGCACATGTTAATTCATAGCTCATACTAAATTAATTGCAGCTAAAATAGCATTTTTGTATGACCAATAAGGGAGCATCTCTTTGCCAACTACTGAGAAATAATAAAAGAAAATTTAATTCTTCCCTCATCTCTTAAAAAGTGGCACATACTTCAAAAGTTAAATGCACCACAGAAAACAAACTGAAAGAATTGAAAACAAGAAAATTACTTCATGTCCTCCTATATGGCATCACCATCTATTCACTTTAATCTATATTTGTATCTAACATTTCTTTGTATAGGTTCGAAAAAATTTCATGTTATTTTGTGCCTAAAAATACTCTGGGTATTTTGAAAATTCTATGTTTTGAAGTTTAGTTGAAAAAATCTCCAATACTCACCAACCAAGTTTTCTGTCAATGTCATGCAATATAAAGAAAGCATTCAAGTCAACCCAGCAGATACTGACTGAACACCTATGATATGCTAAGTACATGGCAGAGTAGCAAAATCAAATTACAAATTGAACACCAGTTTTTTTAGCCTATTGACCACAAGAATACAGTCACGTCTTTGGTGTAGGAATTCTTTCAAGGCAATAGTGAAGAGTAATTCAGAGCTATCTTGTGGAATGGTGTAAACTGTAAGACAATAATTTTTTATCTACAAAATGAAAATGTTAATTTAAAAACCATCACTGTAAAGAGAAGACTGAAACAAAGCACTAATTATGCTTCCATGCATGTCTAGATTATATATTTTCAGAAAGAAGGAAAATACTAGTTGATGTTCAGGAAAACTGAAACAGTAAGATATAGACACAAATGCTTTACTCATTAATATCAGGGAACAATAACTTTCTGTGAAGAGCTGGAAAGTAAATATTTAAGGTACTGTTGGCATTACAATCTCTTTTATGAATATATTGCTCTTGAAGCATGAAAGCCATCAGAAAGATACTTAAAAGAGTAGAACATTGTGTTCCAATACATTTTTATTTATGAACATTGAATTTAATTTCAGATAATTTTCACATGTCATGAAATCTTTTGATTTTTTTAACCATTAAAAATGTGACAACTAGGCCTCCCTGGTGGTGCAGGGGTTAAGTCTCAGTGCTATCAAGCTATCACCAACCACTGTGGCATGAGTTCAGTCCCCAGCCAGGGAGCTACCCACATGGCAGAGTAGCCCTCTCCTGTCTCACATGCTGCTCCCCTCAGCAGTGTATTTCAGTTGGTCCTCCTGTTCTGCTCCCCACTCTGTCTCTGTGAATCCTCTCACCCCTCACACCTCTGGCCTATACCTTGATTCTTGCATGCATAAATAAGTGAATCTTTTAAAAATAAACAAATAAAACAAAACAATAAAAGTAAAAACTATTTTTAGCTTCTGAGCTCTCCAAAAGGAGGCAGTAGGCCAGATTTAGTCCATGGGCGTTAGTTTACCAAGCCCTGTTCTTCATGGAGAAAGATAGCTTCCCTAGAATCTTGTGGGAGAACCTGTCAATTTCTCCACGTTCCAACTGCTTTGGATTCTCCATCTGTTGTTGTTGTTTTTTTCTTCTATTTCTTCCTCCACTTGTGCCTTAGCCATTGCTTCAGTCTCTGGCTGGTCTCTCCCTAGACCTGGATTCACATTTCTCCCCTGGCAAAGCTTCTTTCCTTAACTACTTTGGGGAAGTATTCAGCTTCATTTAATGATTGAAACTTAATGATACGGAATCACGTTGTTGTCACCAAGTTGGCCCAAGAAACAAAACATTAGTTTGGGTCCTTTGGGAAGACACACCACTGAAGTTATTCAGCTTATTTAAAGAAAGCCCAGCCTCCAGGCAGACACATCCATTAGCAAGTAGCATTTGTAAACTTACAACTTTCAGAAAACTTTCCAGTTTTATCTCCTAAGCAAACTCATAAAATATTGGCCTCTGGAATTTTGGTAAGTTATCTAAACAGCTTAGGGGAAAAAAAAAATCTATCCAAAAAGTGAAACATGATTTAAAAATATCAAAGGGAGGAGAGAGGTTTTATATTTACACTTTCCCTCCTCAATAATCATCTCTTGATTATTAAAAGAATAGCAAGAGTAAATAGCCTATCATTTGGATATTCGCATAAGCCAGTGAAATGTATTTATAAATCTGTACTTTAGAAGATTTGTAAGTTCCATAACAAACATAGGTGGAAAAATCAGCATTAGTCTCTGAGAGTGACCTGAAAGGTCTCCATTTTCCTTCCATTTTTCCTATCTTTCTCAAAAAAGATACACACACACACACACACACACGTGTTCTCTGCTTCTTTTAAAGATTTATTTATTTATTTATACAAGCACCGGGTACAGTCAGAAGCACGGGAGGGTGAGAGAATTCACCAGAGCCGGAGCAGGGAGAAGAGCAGACAGACTGACGAAGTACACTGCTGAGGGGAGTAGCCCACGGCAAGAGAGGTCTGCTCGCCATGTGGGACCCTCACTGGTGGCCGAAGATCCAACCGGTGCTGCAGAGGCTTTGGGCAGCTTTGCAACCCAGCGCTCAACCACTGCACCACCAGGGGAGGCCTTCTGCTTCTTTTAGTAAGGCTTTATCAGTATGTGATTCTCAATTTCCTGGGCCCATAGCTTTCTTTTTATGTATTATACTGGACATCTAAAATCCCAGAGTTTTCATATAAGTATTTAGGATTTTTTTTTTTTAAGTTACACCCCTATTTATGGTGAAGAATAAAATTTCCTTCCAGGATTAGAGTAACAAAATGGTGCTTCCACAGTGTTACCTAGGAAGTGGTTGGTTAAACATCTCTGTGCTTGGTAACTTTTAACTCTAATTAGAAGGTTAACTAATGACAATGCTGTACTGATTTTGAAAACATACCTGTTGAAATCAGGCCAAGTGCAAGGCCTCGGCGGCTCTCAAAATACTCACATGTAATGGTCACTGTGGCAGTGTATAGTAAACCACATCCAAGACCTAAACATAAAAAGACATCACATAAATTGAGAGAGATTATATTACTTTAATGAAAATAAAGAAAGGAATAATTATCATCAACAGGATATTCTTACTGAAGGACAGAAACTACTCAGTGTCAGGATTCCTAGGTCCCTGCAATGTTAGTTTTACAGCTCTAGTGGACACATTCGGACAGGCCAAAAAGAAAAAAAAACCCACCTAATTTCTAAAGCATGAATAAATAATACAAATTTAAATTAAGACATGAAAAGAAAATATAAAAAACACATTTTTAAAAAATTAAGACATTATTGGTAGGTACAGAAAATAATAAATTATACACCAAATAACAAAATTTAAATAAACTTGCCCGTTACATCTTTCTACCAAGTCTCTCCCCTCAACACAGCGTTCATTCTCTAAACCCTCAAAAAATTTTTTTGAATCTGGGCCTCCCTGGTGGCGCAGGGGTTAAGTCTCAGTGCTATCAAGCTATCACCAGCCACTGCGGCATGAGTTCCAATCCCCGGCCAGGGAGCTAACCCACATGGTGCAGCAGACCTCTCCTGACTCACCTGCTGCTCCCCTTAGCAATGTATTTCAGTCCATCTGCCTGTTCTGCTCCCCACCTGTCTCTGGTGACTCCTCTCACCTCCTGTACCACTGGTCTACATCCCAGTTCTTGTAGGCATAAATAAATTTTTAAAAATCTTTAAAAAAGGTCTCCCTGCTGGAGCAAGGGTTTAAGACACAACCTATGAAGCTAATCGCAGTCACCGCAGCACGTGTTTGATCCCCGGCCAAGGAGCAACCCACATGGCGCAGCAGACCTCTCCTGACCCTCCCGCTGCTCCCCTCAGCAGTGTATTTCAGTCAGTCTGCCTGTTCTGTTCCCCACTCTGTCTCTGGTGGATCCTCTCACCGCCCACACCTCTGGCCTGTAGCCCCGTCCTTGTATGCATAAATAAACAAATCTTTAAAAAAAAAACTTAAAAAAAATTTTTTTTAATCCCCTTCATCATCCCATTTTGCTAGCACGCACACTCCAGTCTACAAAGCAGAGGTCCTCAGGCAGGTCCTCTGGACTTCTCTGCTCATCTCATGACAGCAAAATTCTTATTTTTCAGTTTTAGAGATGCATATGAGATGCATAGAGTAAAATGTCATGATGGCTTCATTTAATTTAAAATATCTTCACACACAAAAAGCAGAAACAAGTACAATAAAATATATTAACAGCCGTTAAGTTTCAGTGGTGGTTATATGTGTGTGGTTGTTTGCTGCATTCTTCTCCACTTTTCTGTAAAATTGAAGTTCATTTATAACTAAGAATACCTTACAACTAACTTCCCTTTTTCGAGACTCAAGGGTGACATTTATCTCTAGATCTTCTCCAAGGCTCTGATTTGTTAGCTAGTCTTTTTCTTCTTATTAAATTCTTGGTATACTCAGTTTATTTTTCATAAAATTTTCCTCTAGCATCTAACTCATGACTTTCTTCTGCAACATCATTTGTTCTTGAGGATCAATCTATGAACAATATATAAACCATAATCTAAAGTTAAATTTTAACATGGGGTCATAAAGTGAATTATTATTATTATTTTTTTAAATCACACAATAAGCTTTATTGGGCATTGTGGAGACAGAATTGCATCACAGGGAAAGTCTCTGATAACATGCAATCATTTAGAGATTGCAGTTGAGTAGATCACCATTCAGAAGAGGAAAGAAAGGGAGCACCCTGGAGACAAAGGAGCAAAGGAGGTGCCAAAATGTAGGTGATGTTGCTCAGCAGCTCTGGCTGGGATCCTCTGGATCAGAGAGCTCCAAAGTTCCATAGAAGGCTGGAGACTTAAAACTATCACCTTGTCATTGAACAGCACTTGCAGGGTAAATTATCACAGAGATGCAAAGCAAGCAGGCTCTAAATTGCTACAAATCTGCTTTTTTTTCTTTATACTTTATTTTTCATTAGGTGAATTATTCAGATAATTTTCACTACTTTTATTTGCTACCTGGACTATGATTAAAAAGGATACATGGACTAAATTAATCTACTGTGTAAATACAGTAGGAAATTAGTAATAAATAATCCAGGACTCAGATGGCATAAAAAGTCTTCTTAAAAAAATGAGATAGCTGGGCCTCCCTGGTGGCGCAGCGGTTGAGCGCTGGGTTGCGAAGCTGCCCGCAGCCTCTGTAGCACCAGTTCGATCCCCGGCTGCTCCCCGGCCACAGGAGGAGGGTCCCACATGGTGCGCAGACCTCTCCTGCCACCCGCTGCTCCCCTCAGCAGTGTACTTCGGTCCTTCTGCCTGCTCTGCTCCCCGCTCTGGCTCTGGTGAATTCTCTCACCCTCCCGCGCTTCTGACTGTACCCAGTGCATGTATAAATAAATAAATAAATCTTTTTAAAAAAAAATGAGATATCTTAAAACAATTACACTTTAAGATAACTTTTAAAATAAGGCAGCCTTTTATATGAGTTAAGGGAAAATCACTATGACACTAAAACATGACTTGGATTGGTGTATGCTGTTGTCTACTATATATGACACTTCAAGACGTGAAATAAGTAACTGTCCTGAACAATGAATTTTGTGAAGTCAAAGAAATGTCACCCTTAACTAAGAATATACATCAGAAAGCCCTTGGAGAGGGAATGAATTTACTTTTCTGTGATTTGGTTGTCAAGGCTCTGTCAAATGTTAGCTATTAGAGACAAGAGAAAAAGACATTTCTGATTACTAAATGCCAATGCCAGAAAAGTTGAAACAGCAACTTTTAAACTTTTGACCTAAGATGAAAAGGAAAGAACTTTTGAAAAAAATATTTCAAGGTCATGGACTTCAGATAAGATTATCTGATTTTATAAAATATAGTAGAAATTTTAAATATCTTTCTGTAAACTTTGTAAAAAAGCAGTCGAGGGCATAATGTCTTCTCACATCTGTGTCAGGATGACCTAATAACCAGCAGTTATTAAATAGGGCCCCTGAGTTCTTTCATGGAGACTGTGAAATCAAAATTAACTTCATAGTAATATTAACATGTTATCCAATTTTTTCATTGTGTTCACATTTATGCTAATGGTGCAAAAGAGATGATAGGTAAATCTTCAAGAGCCCTAGCACAAATCAAAGTATTTATTGGTGCCAAAATTGGGTCTTCCTATGCTTCAACACCACACACTCACATCACAGTAAAAAAAATAAAATAAAATAAAATTTTTGAAGACTCTTCATTCAAATGATAATAATTGTTGCAAGGAAAAGGACTTCAGTAATTGTTTTAATAGACAGCTAAAATAACCACTTTTTTTTTACATAACCCTGCTTGTATTTGACAGAATGTCAGGCAAGCTATGGGTTTTTAGAGTATTTAGCAGATATTTTCTTGAAAAGAAACTAGCAAGGAAATAATTGACAATGATTATTACCAATGATAAGAATTCAAGTGTTCCAGTAAAAATTAGAATTTTTGAAAACTCATAGATCCATCACCATGAATTTGACAGGTTCCCAATAAATATTTTCTGGTGAGACTGTTGGCATCAGTGATATTTTGATGCTGCATAACAAAATGGGCCAAAAATTTTAAGTTCTTAAATAACTAAGTGAACCAATATTTTTCAAATAACCAATTCATGATGTTTCAAAATCAGGCCTGAATGAAGATTTATTTAAAGTACAGAACAAATAAATGCAACAGAGTATGAAAAGTATATTGACATGGTATCAGGCTCCAAACTGCAATTAGCCTTTGAAAGACTCTCACTTATTGCATTTTGGTATAATAGCAATGACCTGAAAAGGGTACTGAAAATACTTTCTTCCCCTTTCACACTTTATGTGAGATCAGATATTCTTCACATATTTCAGTCAAAAAATGTATTACAGAAAAAAATAGATCAGGGGCCTTCCCGGTGGCGCAGCGGTTGAGCACTGGGTTGCGAAGATGCCTGCAACCTATGCAGCGCCAGTTTGATCCCCGGCTGCTCCCCGGCCACCAGAGGAGGGTCCCACATGGCGCGCAAACCTCTCCCGACGCCCGCTGCTGCCCTCAGCAGTGTACTTCGGTCCTTCTGCCTGCTCTGCTCCCCGCTCTGGCTCTGGTGAATTCTCTCACCCTCCCACGCTTCTGACTGTACTCAGTGCTTGTATAAATAAATAAAAATAAATCTTTTTAAAAAAAAAAGAAAAAATAGATCAACCATGCAGCACATATGATAATCCAGGCATATTATATAAAGTCAGATATTAAAGTAACTTGCAAAAAAGATAAAATAATGTCACTATTTTTATTAAATGTTGATTGATTTTGAAAAGAAAGTTCTTTATCATATGTATATTATTTATGTTAACACATCCTGTTTTGTTATTATTTAAATTGCTAAACAAGTATTTTGATATTGCTCACATTAATATAGTAAAATTTGACAGAATATCAATAAGTATAATCCACTTAATTAGAAAATTTCTTGGAGTTGTAAATAAAATTGTGTAAAGGTTCCTGAAACTAAAAAGTTTGGAAACCAGGGCCTCACTGGTAGCACAAGGGGTTAAGTCTCAGCACTACGAAGCTAGCCACAGCCATTGCAGCATGAGTTCAATCCCAGGCCAGGGAGCTAACCCACATGGCACAGCAGACCTCTCTTAGCTTGCCCGCTGCTCCCCTCAGCTGTGTATTTCAGTCACTCTACCTGTTCTGCTACCCCCGCCCCCATCTCTGGTGAATTCTCTCACCTCTCACACCTCTGGCCTGTACCCCAGCTCTGGTATGCATAAATAAATCTTAAAAAAAAAAGTTTGGGGTCTCCCCGGTGACACAGTAGGTTGAACGCAGAGCTGTGAAGCTGTCCACAGCCTCTGTAGCGCCAGTTTGATTCCCGGAGTGAATTCCGGGAGATTCCCACATGGCGTGGCAGACCTCTCCTGTCTCTCCAGCTGCTCCCCTCAGCAGTGTGTTTCGGTTCTTCTGCCTGTTCTGCTCCCTGCTCTGTCTCTGGTGAATTCT